GGTGGTGGGGCTGCCGCTGACCGTTGCTTGCTGACGCTGACGCTGCTCTTACCTGCGGGGGGAGGGGGTGGGTCGGGAGCCAAGGCCGGGCAAAAGATGCCTGGGCCCTACTCAAGGGAACCGAGGGAGTCACTGTGCCAGGGCAGCAGCATGCTCCTCATGGCACCGGTCGGCAAACCGGGCCAGCCGGCCCTGCCTGGCCTGGCCGAGGAAGGCGGCCAGGGAGGGCAAGGCGTGGCCGGGACTGTGGAAGAGCTCAGCATACTCCTCCCTCAGCCCAGCGTATAGGGGGCAGTCATACACTGCGTGGCGTACGTCCTCTAGAGGGGCCTGGCAGTGGGGGCATGGGCGCTGGGTGCGGTCCAGCCGCTGCCACCGGCCTGTCTCCTCAGCCATCCAGTGCGACCCCGTGCGCCACTGCGCCAGGCGCACCCGGCGCCGGCGCTCGGGCACATCGCACAGGAACGACGCAGGCGTGTAGGCCTCCGCAGAGATGCTGCCCCCCCACACGTCCTCAATGTACCGCTGCACCTTCACGGATGCATGCGTGTACGAGGCAACATGGCGCTCCAGGAGCGCTTCCGCCAATTCAGGTATGGCAACCCCCTCGTCAGCAGTCAAGTCGCAGGGGGCGCCGGCCGCCGCGAGAACGCGGCTAACCTGCGCTGCCCAGGGCTGCCGGGCCAGTGGCAGCCCTGTGTCCGTGTCGGCAGCCAGCGCAACGCTATCCAGCATGGCAAGCGAGAAATGCGGCCGTTGTCACTGTCATAGCCAGGAAGGCAATTCTCATCAAGCATTAAGCTCAATGAAGCTTGATGCAGCTTATTGACCAGTGTTCCACAGCACCCACCAGTCAATTCGGTGCCAGGGTGCGCCGCGGCCAGCTGCGCGGCCACCACGCCAAAGCACTCTGCCGCCGTGGCGCGCACCGCGGTGTCGCCGTCCCGCAGCGCGCCGCCCAGCAGGCCCAGCAGCTTGCCCAGCAGCGGCGGCTGCAGCATGGCCGCCCACAGCTGGCAGGCGCCGGGCGTGGTGCAGAGCGCAGCCAGGCGAAGGCAGTGCACGCGCGCGTACTGCGTCCTGGCGTTGTGGCTGCCTGCCGCATGGAGCAGCGTGGAAAGGTTGGCGGCATCCAGGTCCCAGATCAGGCGCTTCAGCTCCTCGTACGCCCCCGCCTGCGTATCCTTGGCCTCCAGCCGCTCCAGGCCCCTCAGCATGCGGTCCTGACGGGCATACTGCTGAGCGCGTGCCTCGCCGCCTCCTGGGAGCGGCGGCATGCTGGCCACTCGCGGCCGCCGCCTGGGCGGCTATTGAAGAAGGGATAGGGCTCGCCCTGCAACCTCAGTGCACCCGCTGGTGGGTCATATGGCCTTGTGCAGCCTGAGAGTGTGCCGTCGTTGCGGGCGCAAGGGAGTCGAGCACGTGCCAGTGGCCGCAGTAGGTCGCAAATCCAACAGAGACCAGCAATTTGGACGCAAGGCAGCGAAATCCAAGGGCGACGGCGTTTTTTTCCTGCCTCCGGCAAGAAAGCAACCTGCTTTTGGGCCCATCACGGCTTCATTCACCTTCGACAAATCTGTTCGAGCCACCGGCAATCCCAGGACGGCAGCGCATCCCGCTACACCAGCGGTCAACAGCATCCGCAAGATGGCGGTAAGAGCGGCCTCGTTCATCCCTCTCGCCCCACTGCGAATCAGGGCATCGCCTGCTGCCGCGCGGCATCGCGCAAACGGCTGCACCTCAGACCCGGCGCCGGCGCCGACACCAGCCGTGCCACCAGCACGCCCTGCCTGGCCCCACGGGCCTGTGCAGGCTTCCCCTGCCCTGGACCTGCATCAGACGGTGCAGGCGGCACTGCGCGACCTGCTGAGCGTCGCCGACCTGAACCACGACGACAGCTGGGAGGTCAGCGCAAGCGCCCTGCCAGCGGCACCCGGTCCGCAAGCCGTCGCCTCAGCTCGAGCCAGCCGCACCTCGCAAGCCACGGCAGCCCCAGGCGCCAGCGCCTGCACCGTCTCCCAAGACCTGTCGCTCGCAGCAGAGGAGGAGGAGGAGGAGGTGCGGGAGGCAGACCTGCCGCCGCAGGCAGCCGCGCGCCTCTACCAGGCACGGCTGCGAGCGGCGCAGGCTGAGCTGGCGGGCCTCCAAGATGCGGTCAAGGGCAGGGACTCCAAGCTGGGAGCACTGGAGAAGGAGGTGCAGCAGCTCAGGCGCGTGGGCTCAGGATGGCAGCAGAGCGGGGGCTGCATCACTGGTATGTTGCTATGCCTGGCAACAGCCAGGCCTGCTGGTGAGCAGTGCCTTTTAAGCGAGTGCGCATCGCACCTGCGACCTAACCCCTGCCAACAGTGCAGGGTGGAGAAGGCGGCCTGGCAGAAGCAGCACAAGGCGCTGGAGGCGGCGGCGGAGCGCAGCAAGCGGGCGGCGGAGGAGGCGCAGGGGCGGCTGTCCGAACAGGAGAATGCGCTGAAGCAGGTCGGCCTGGAGCGGCGGGCGTCGCAGCAAGAGAGGTGAGGCTGGGGCCCCAAGATCTGCTGCTCCACTCAAGTACAGCCCTGCTCTTGGCATCGATTGATCGACCGAGCAGGCGAATCTGCACTCGCCACTCGCCCTTGGACTGTCATCTGCGCAGGCGGCAGACCGAGGCAGACATCAAGGCCAGGGAGGGCCGGCTGGCGGCGGCGCTGGAGGAGGCGCAGCGCCTGCGCAAGTGAGGCGAGGGCGTGCTGGGGCCTGGCTAGAGGGGCAGCGCAAATGCAACAGCAGAATGCAACGCACATGCACCCACGCCGCCGGGCTGTGCAGGCTGCTGGAGGATTCCAAGGCCCAGGCGGCGGCACGGGGAGGCGTCAGCCGCGAGGAGCACGCCCGTGTGGTGGCAGAGAACAGCCAGCTGGCGGCGCAGGTGGGCAGTTGGAGGCTCGCCACCAGGCTGCACCGTGCACCATAGCAACACCGTGTCTGCATCTACACATCATGCTATGGTGCTACTGCCCCGCCTGCTGCCGCTGCAGAAGCAGGAGCTTGTGTCGGCCTTCAGGAAGGCGGGGCGGCTGATCGATGTACTGCGCCGCCAGAAGGTGCACCTGGAGGCAGCGGCGCTGCTGCGGGTGACCAGCCGGGAGCTGGCAGAGGCGCTGCAGCAGGGGCAGGCGGCGGGAGGGGCGGCACGAGGGGTGGCGGCCGGCCGGTAGATTTGCTAGTACCTGTCAGGAGAGCTGACTGCCTGCTGAGGGGTGATGAGCGGGAGATGCTGTTTCGTGTTGCAGCATGTGAAAACACGAAGGAATTGGGAACTAAATCAGGTGCAGGAAACAAACAGCAGCAGGGAAGAGCAAGCATTACAGGCGCCATTGAGCGGTGGGAGGAGCAAGATGCGAGGGGGATAACAAGATCATCCGATGAACAAACAAGAAGTCAGGTCCTGTCAGGGCAACCGCTGTGCCTATGCCGCAGCCTGGGCGTCGCCGCTGGCTGGCGCCTGCTCCGCCTCCGGCTTGGGCTCCCAGTGCCTGGCAAAGGTCTGGGAGATGATGAGCGGAAAGAGGATGCTGGCGTCGCCACACACCTGCAAGGGCGCAGGCGCAGGCGCGGGCGCAAAGCAGGCCCCAAGGAGGAAGGTCGACGTCTGCGCCAGCACCCGCGTGGCCCACTGCAGCGACTGCCCCCTTGGCTTTGCCACCCCTGAGGCCTGTGGTGTACCTTCACCGGCTTTGCATCCGCCCGGATCTTGCCCCACGACACGGCCTCGTCGGGCCGCGCGCCTGCACGAGCGGCAGCAGCAGCAGGGTCGGCAGCAGCAAGCTCAGCCAGGCAGCTGAGGGCACACAGGCAACCGCGGGTCCCTGGCAAGGGGCAGGCACCACGCCCTCATCTCCTCTGCTTTGCCGCTGCCCTGCCGCTGCCATGGCGTGCTGCGCAGGCCCTGCGCCCGGCGCCCGCACCAACCGCGCCTCACCGCTGTCGCTGCCGTCAAACTCCTGCGCCGTGTTCACAAACACCGCAAAGTCGGCGCCGTTCTTCATGAGGTTGGCGTTGCAGATGTGGTGCTTGGGCACGCCTGCGGGGGGCGGGGCGGGCACAGCGGGGAACAGTCGGGTGGTTGGGCGAGCAAGCCGGAGAGCCGTCGGGTGGTCGAGCGAGCTGGGAGCGTCAGCATGCTGTCACACGGGGAGCCAGCAGGGGGCGAGGGGCCCGAGCCAGCCTGGCGCTGCAGCGCATGGGGCGCGTGGCAGGGAGTGCCTGCTCACCTCCACCCAGGATGATGGCCCCCGTCTTGCGCGGCGCCGCCTTCATGGCCTGGTCGTTCATGAGGCGGATGTCCTGCGGGGGGCAGCAGGCACATACCAGAGCGCGCAGGCGCGTCGGGCGCGGTGCTGCATGCAGCGCCAGCACACCGCACGCATGCGTGGCTGGCATCGTTGCACGCCCGATGCCAAGGCTGTCAATCCTCTCCTCCCGGGCACCCCGTCCTGCACGGGAGGCGCCCCCCCACCCCCCCACCCTCACCCGCCCCAGGCAGAGGCCCCACCTGCACAATGTCCAGCACCAGCCCGGGGTTCTTGTAGGTGTGGAAGAAGAGCATGTCGCCCAGGGAGCCGTCTGATGAGGGGTTGGCGTGGGTGTGGGGCGGGGTGGGGGTGGGCGGCAGCGTGTCAGCCGGCAGCGGGGCAGGAGGTGGAGGAGGGCATCGCGAGGTGGAGGCGCCGGCCGGCGCCAGCAGGGCGGCAGGGTTGAGCGCTGCGCCGTGCCGTGCGCGGCGCGGCGCCGGCCCACCGCCCCCTGACCTCCCGTGCGCCGGTGCACGCCGCCCAAGCAGCAGCCCTGGGCCTGGCCCGGCCTCGCGCAAGCCTCCACCCACCGGTGAGCGCGGGGCAGAAGACAGGGATGTCGTTCTTCCAGGCCCAGTAGTAGATTGAGTCGGGGTGGTTGATCTCCTGGCCCAGCCGCGCAATCATCTGCTGGCAGCAAAGGTGGGGCAGGGTGGGGTGCTGGCCGCCATGCCTGGGCTGGGGTGGACGGTGTGGCTGCGGGCGCGGGCGTGGCTGGCGCGCAAATGCGCCCGCTGCCCCTGCTGCCCGGCCGGGGGTCTGGCTCGCGCGGGGCGGCGGACGCACCCCCAGGCCTCACCCGGCTGGGCGTCCACAGCGTGCCCTCCTTCTGCTGCTCCGCCAGCATGGCATCAAAGATGGGGATCACCCTGCACACACACACACACATCACAAACAAGTCGTCAACAAGCTTTAAGCGGCCTTCAGACACATTGTTGTTTATTGCTGTTTCGGTTTGTGATTGGAATCGCTTGATTCCGACTGTCCCACCGCAGATGTAGCTCACCAGTCCTCAAACTTGCAGTAGTTGGAATTGGGCACGAGCATGTTGCCGATGCGGTTGAGGCCGCGCTTGCGCAGGTCGGCGCCCCGCAGCTGGAAGTCGCCCAGGTAGGTGGGGGCCATGCACTGCATAGGCAGCACACGGGAGGGCAAGGAGGGAGGCAGGGGGGGCTGCAGGTGGGTGGGTGGCCACCTCAGCAACCATCACAACACACACACACACACCGGCATACCCGCTCGCCTGCCTGCCCGCGCCGCCCCACCCCAACCCACCCGCCGGCACACCACAGCACACACCCGCATGCACCCCACACCTTTATGTAATCCTCCTCCACGCCGCCGGCGGTGGTCACAAGCACGTCCACCATACGGTGCTGCGCTCGACAGGGGTCGGGGCCAGGCAGGCAGGCAGGCAGGCAGAAGGGTGGGGCTGCGCCCGCCAGGCCTTGACACCCTCCCGCCTCGCGAGCTCAGCAGGGGCCAAGAACCGCGGCTGCCAGCATACCACACATATACACTCACACGCACGCACACACCAGCCCCTGCCCGGCCACGCCCACCTGCACCAGGTACCGTATGTGCTCCCGCACCCCCGCCGACACCAGGTTGCTGGTGTAGCCCAGGAAGATCTTGCAGCGGGTGGCGCCCCGCACCGCGGGATCGACGTGCTGCTCCTCCTCTGGCGGCAGCAGCGGCTCCTGGGCCAGGCGCCAGCGGATCTGCGGGGAGCGGCGGCGGGGCGGTGCCGGGCGCGTCGGCGGCCGCCGCTGCTGGCGTTGCTCGGGCTGGTGCTGGA